ATGTTGTAACGTGATTAAAAGCTTAAAGTTGTTTTGGATAATATGTCTCCTTTAAAGCGTTTTTGTTTTTTGAATGATCCATGTTGTTTGTAGCATGAAGCAGACCACAACACGCTGTCTGTTGTTACCTTCTGCATACTTGTAGGAAAGAGCCCTGTGAGTCACTATTTGACACTTTGGGCTGAGAGCTGATTGGCCGAGTGCGGTTGCTCCTCTCTTTTTCAATTTCCTCTGAAAAAAAGCTGATCTAAAGCTGTGACAGGAGCCAAAAATCCATGCATGTGCAAAACTATGATAGAACCAAACGTGTATTGAGAGAGAGGGGAACATTTTCTGTGGTTTGAAAGTTAGGTCCCCCAGCTTTAAAGCTCCGGCACGTCAACAAACAACAAGCAACTCAATGCAACATTTTACTATACTAGAATTTGTATAAGCTTTCTATGAGGTTGTATAAAGTGAAAGAAAAGCAAACTAATTATGAATAGACCCGCCTTGTTCTCCTTGTTTCTATGGAAATGATTTAGTTTTACCTTTTATATCTGCACGGAATCCCGTTGGTGATGTCACGTGAATCTCGGCACAGCCTGGTCTAAAGTATGCAGTACTTTATTTTTTTTTTTTTTAAACCAACCTGTCAAGACAACTTTGCATTCAAAAGTCTGAGTATTGTGTTAGCTCAGTGTTTTCGCCGTTTGTGCCTGTGCTCCCTCTCCCCTGGGATCTGCATTCCACAGAGAGCCTGCTGTTATATGGGACTGTAGTAAAAAGCTTACTCACCCATACACCCCCATCACCCTCCTCCCCCAGACCCTCACCTCACTCCTCTCTTCTCTGCCCCTCTTATCCTCCCTCCTCCTCTATATCCTCTCCCGCTCTCACCTCCTTTTCCTCTTCACTCTCCCTACTCCTCTCCTCTCACTCTTTTCCTCCCTCATCCCCTCTCCTCTCCAGACCACCTCACCCCCATTTTCTCTCCCCGAGACCCTCATCTCCCTCCTTTCCTCTGCCTCAGACCCTCACCTCTCCCCTTTCCTCCCTTCCAGACCCTCACCTCTCTCCTCTCCTCCCTCCGAAGCCCTCACCTCTCTCCTCTTCCCCCCAGACCCTCACCTCTCTCCTCTCCTCCTCTTAGACTTTCACCTCTCTGCTCTCTTCTCCTCTTAGACTTTCACCTCTCTCCTCCCCTCTCCCAAAACTCTCCTCCCCTCTTTTCCTCTCTCCTCTCCCCCAGACCTCTCTCCCCTACTCCCAGACCTTTCTGGTCTTTTCCTCGCAGTCACTCACCTCTCTCTACTCTCCCCCAGACCCTCATCTCTCTCTCTTCTCCCCAGACCCTCAACGTTCTCCTCCCCTCCCTCCCAGACCCTCACCTCTGCTCACCTCTCTCTCCTCTCCTCCCAGACCCTGCACTCTCTCTCCTCTCCAGACTCTCCTCCCCTCCACTTCCCTTTTATCCTCTCTCCTCCTCCTCCTCCTCCCCACATTTCTCCTCTCCCACTCTCACCTTCTCCTCCTCTCTCCCACTCACCTCAACCTTCCTCTCCTCTCCTCCCACTTTTCCTCTTCCCCAGACCCTCACCTCTCTCCCATGTCAACTCTCATCCCCCCATACACTCTCCCCCTCTCTCCTTCTACCCCTTCACCCCGCTCCCCTTCTCACTCTGCAGCGTTTATTGAAGTAAATAGTTCCAAAAACCTGGCAGCTTTCTTCTAAAAAAAAAAGCAGGTCGTCGTCTAAAGATTTGTTTCTGTGATGTCACACAAAATAGTATATTTACACAATTATTGATTATTTTTGTGTATCATAACTGCCCTCATTGAGTCTTAAAGCTGGGTTATGTAACTTTCAGATATGTGATCAAAGTCCTGGCTCAAAAATAAGCTAATTTTACCTGTAACATATGGTTTAGTGGTAGAAGAAACTTAAAAAAAACCCAGAGGAAACCAGAGTAGACACAGGGAGAACATGCAAACTCCATTCAGAAAGGCCCTGTTTTGTGGGAATGTCCAGGCGGGGTCATAAACTTAAACAACATCTGCAGTAACTCACTCATCAACCCATTATACACATTATAGTTTATCAAGCATGCAACCAGTGAAGTCTATGTGACAGATTTGATTCACTTCAGGGCTGAAGAACTAACATTCTCGCCCCAATCGGCCCCTTTCGACTCCTTGTGGCCAAATCGGGTTACTCCCCCTCCTTTCCCCTTGCACAAACTTCCCAAACCCCAATGGACCGATAGACTTACATTTGTGCCAATCTCCTCAGATATATCCTCAAGTCGCTGGGCACATTATAATGAATCACTGACAGCTTTTGAATTGCCTGCATCGGCTGCTTGAGACGAGGGCCGGGAGGTGGGCTAATGGCTGTGTAATTACTGGGTGCACGGTAAAGCTACGCAGACGTCCAGGTAGCCATAGGAACCAGATGCTTCCATTTAGGGCCAGTCAGATTAGCCCGCATGTAAGCTGGTCAAGCTGGAGCCTGGGAAAACTTATAGCCATGGCCTGGATCGCTGCGTGAAGAATGCTTTCTGGCTCTGGAAATGAAGTTAGTTTTCATTTGAAGGCTATGGTTTTCATTGGGAGTGGGATCGCGGGAGATTACATAGCGCGTACACAAAGTCGCGCTTCTGCAAAAGGCATTCGGGATATCCCCCCCACTTCCCCTCCCCTCCCTCTTCCAAGAATTTGTGCACGCAGGTTAAAGCGACTGAAAAAAAAAGAAGCCCACCTAAAAGGTTCAAAGCCTGCAGACTTCCTCAAGCAAAATGAAATGTGGCGAAAGACCACGGCAGCGTCTGGACTGATGTGAGTTGGGGACTTGGTCATATACGGCGACTTTAAAGTTGGTGTGATATTAAGAAAAGTGAGAAACTGCTGCAGTGGGTGGTATTCCTGAGTACAATATATAACTCTGTGCCATTAGTGCAACGATTTCCAACTAACGGCTCAACGGAGACTAATAAAAAAGAGTTACAGAGCTCAGATGTGCACCTATGTAAGAAATAGGACTCCCATCGTCCAGTTTATGTCTGTGCCCGTGGTCTCGCTAAGTCAACAGTTTGGGACCATAGTTTTTACTGTGGCATGTAGCGTGAGGTGGGCCATGTTTGACATCCTGTATGTTTAAAATGTCTTGTTTTGTTCAGGGTAAAAATACAAGTTTCGAGAGAGTTAAGTTTGAACAAGCGGACGTGTCAAGTAGGACTGGGAAAAAATCGAATTAATTTGTGAAATCGACCTTTTTTAAATCAAAGATGTGCAGAATTTGAGCAGCATGAGCGTGTACAGGGAAGAACACAAAGAACAGTGTTTTCATGAAAGTAACAACAATGATTATTAAGGAGAGGTCAACTTTTGATTTGTACAATGTACGTTTCAGTGACTTTGGTTTGAAACAATTTTAAATTGGGAGCTTTAAAATTGAGATTGAACTTATTTCTTTATCGCCCAGTCCCAATATGAAGCGATTACCTGATACATAATTCCTACAGATTTCAGAAAATGCTCATAAAGTTTTTTAAAGTAGTTTTTATTCTTTCATATTCAGACTTGAGATGAGAAGCACATTTAGACATTTTGGAATTTGGAACCGCTGGCACGGGTCACCCATCATAGTACTAACCAGGCCCTGTCCTGCTTAGCTTCTGAGGTCTGATCAAATAACAGACAATGCCAAAAAGAACAAAAGCAAAACAGCAGAACAGTAACATAACACAATATTTCCTGGTGTAATACAAGACAAACACACACACACGCTCACGCACACGCGCGCACACACACACGCACACGCGCGCACGCACCCACGCACGCACGCACACACACGCACACGCTCACACACACGCACACGCACACGCACACGCACACGCACACACACACACACACGCAAACGCACGCACGCATGCACACGCACGCACACACGCACACACACACACATACACACACACACACTCCTCTCCGTTCTCCTCCACGATGAAAGAAACTTGTTCCGTTGAATAATCTTGACAACATCAAGAAACAGTTTATTAAAAGTAAGTGATGTTTTTGATAATTGCGACCACAACATCTTTAATTTTTATTTGATTGTGATTAATCTCGCTGCAGATCATGTGTTTGAGAGCGATGAAAGACATTGAGGAACTTGTTTGAGCTGGAAAGTCACACATCACATAAGAATATAGATTTATTACAGCTATTGTGAGAGAAAACATTACTATTTTCCAATTATTTCCAATTATTGTCATCATGAGCGACCGGCAGCAGCGTCTGGTTCTCAGGCACAGTCCGCTATGAATCATCTCATTGAGAAATCAAGAGTCCACTTCTTACTCCGACTTGTGAAACGCTGATTACAAATTAAACGCTTTCTGCTACATCCATCCATCATGTTCTGTATGTGTTTTTGTATCCATCCAAATATTACTTTAAAACAAGATTCATGAAGCCTTTTCTCTTCTGAGCCTCAGAACGCGTTCACACTGGTCTGGTTCACTTTAACTGGACCAGGTCTTGCTCACTTTAACTGGACACGGTCTGGCTTACTTTAACCGGACCACATCTGGTTCACTTTTACAGGACCAGATCTGGTTCACTTTTACTGGACCAGGTCGGACTCACTTTAACTGGACCAGGTCACTTGGGGAAAGTGAACCAGACTAAATCATAACTACTTTAATAATTTGTGTTAGTAGCAAATCACAAATGCTGCAATTATGTAATATTTTCTAAATATTTTTTGAACTGTGTGGGAGAGGTGACCGCTCACATGCACGCTTTTTCAAATACAAATTTTTCAAATACATATTTAGTAGTAAATATAGTCAAAACATAGTCTATCAGAAATCTCAATGTTGCTCAGAAACATCACAATTCGATATTCTTCCAAAACCGCTCAGCCCTGTACCTCCAACTCTCACTTCAGATTCCACCTCAGCGAAGTCGGCGCGGCTGGAAATAGCTCCGACGCGTCTGTTTTTCGTGCCCTTTCGATCCTAGAGCGTGGCGAGCCGGTTGAAAGCATCTGTAATGACTAAAGCAGCGAGAGAGCGACACATTCCCGCCCCTCTGCTGCGCATTAACCTGAGGGGACAGTGACTTTGCTGTTGCTCCTGGTTCAACAGTTTCCCCCCCACGTCGTCCCCGGATAGTCGCTGGCGGTGATTCTCTACGTTGTCATTTAGTTCTGCAGACATTGCGACGATCCCGAGAGCTTGTTTGAACTTGGAAACGAATGAAAGAGCCGCTTCTCTGACCGCACGGTTTTATGTTCCTCCATCGACAATGCGTTATTACAGCGGGCAGTGCAAGTCAAACTGTTAAAGGAAGCGAATGTATTTCATGGATATTCGCTCTTAAATCTCGTGTTGTGGTCGGAGTAAGTCGTTTGTTATGGTATTTCTCCTATTGTTCTGACTTCTTTTGTTGGTTGGCTCCACAGCGTGAGTTGTCGCGGAGGCAATTTCAGCTGAAGTTCCTTTAATGTCTCCCTAATGATGTCACCACACAGCGGTCAATATTGTTAAAAGGGCTCCGCGGGAAAAAAGTAATATAGACACAATAAGTGGGATTGCTTCTGCTTTCTTTCTCCTCTGTCATCGCTGCACAAGGACTGGTCAAAAAAAGTTGGAAATATGGTTCGTAGCTCAATGCAAATACAAAATATGTGTTGGTTAACTTTATGTACTTAAGGATTTATAATAAAAATAGTCAAAAAAAAGAAGGTATGGAGTTGATTAGCTACAGATTTGGTGTCTAAATCAAGCAAAATCAACTTTTTTGAGCTTTTTACCATGTTTCAGCATTGCTCTTCATCAAAACAGACCTGGAGTTGTTTTGAGATCCATCCATGATAATATCAGGAACTTTTGGCACAAACATGTAACCCCGCCCCTTCTGTCTAAAAGCTCATATCTCTAACCTGTTATGTATGATGTCATTGTACCGCCATGACATCACACTCAGAGCAGTTTTCTGACTTTTACTTGCCCATAAATTAGTTTTGGTAATTTCTCAGGTGAAACGACATTCTTCACATAAAAGTATTTGGTTTTTCTATACCAGACAGTTGCCGGGTGCGATAAACCATATAGATTGGTTGATTTGACTGCGGAACCCTGGGAACAGCAGTCAAACCCAGGCGTGCCACTGCGCCTTAATGGCACGCTCTCTGCCAAAACAATTTCCAAGTGGTAACTTTTTTGTTACTTAAGTGGCAATAAAAATGATTCTGATTCTGATTCTGATAATGTGTGATGTTGCGAGACGCTTCTGAGGAAGATTGAAGTATTCATCGAAACATGTCAAGGTAATACCATCCCTAACCTACTATTGTCTGGTATAGAAGCACCTAATACTTTTATTTCTGCAAAGAAGATGAGATGAAGCTTCCTAAGGGCCGGTAATTTTCAAAATGGGAATAAAATAAAAATATGAATCTCTGGTGGTGGTGATAATCCAGGACATTTGACATCTTTGAACATTTATGACATTGATGATCCGCCACTTATGGACACGTGTTTTTATCATTGCATTTTCTGTGTTTGAACGAATTGAGCTTTGAAGTCCTCCGAGATGAATACTGTTGGGATTTAGTGCTATACAAAAATAAATGGAATTGAATTGGTGGGAGTTTTAGTGGACTTACAGCCGGAAAGCATTTTTTACCCTTCATACTTGTTTCACCTTACATTTTCTAGAATGTATGATATTATTTCTCATTCTAAAACATGTGAATAATAGATTTTGAGTGCTTTTATTGTTGAAATCCGTCCATTACATACATTTTATAGTTTTGATCGATGAGTCAAGCCTTCAGTTAACTTCTTTGGTCGACTAGAACAAAAACATGCAGATAAAATGGTTATCATAGCTCATAATCAGCCAATGAAGTTGCTGTGACTGCAGATACACCATTAACAATCTAAGAACAACATTATGGCCTGCCTTTGTTCATCTCTGCCTGCAGCAAAAGAGAAGCTTGTTTTTAGCTTTAAACCACATTTAATTGCCGTAACATCAAGGGTATTTCCCCGAGGCGGGCGGGAAAGCGCTGTCTCTTACTCTCTGCCTCCTCCGTCTTCTGTCCTGCTGCACATCCTCCACAAAAGGCCCTCACAGAGCCCGATGCCCTGTGACACTGGGCTCAAAGAGGTGGTCTGGTCTCACTGTGGTCCTCTTTGTGAAGACGCATACTTTCGCATGACCCTCTCGCATCAAAAATAGATTTAAATAGACAAGAAGAAGCTCCAACAACAGCTGCTGCTCTGTGCCAGGACGGTGACATCAGGAAGACAACATCTAAAGCGACCGCACCAACGTAAAACCTTTTAGTCGGAGGAGAAGAATCTGATCTTGAAAGTTCAAACGAAACATAAAATCCTTTGGAGAAAGCATCTACAGTAAACAACATATAGAAAGAGGAAATCGGAGCTTAAATTGTGAGTCATTTTGATCAATATCACAATTATAAGAACAGGTCGATCTAAATTCTGTTGTTTTGCCTGGAATGTTCCATCATTTGGCATTACATTTGTACATCTGTCCCCTGATTTATTATTTTTTAGCTATTTATAACCTTAACCTTAAACCTTAACCCTGACATAAGCCATATTTTGACTCTTAAATACAAATTTTAATAAAGAAATGGCAACAAAATGTCAATATTTCTCTTGAAATATGAAGATTTTAATGAGTCTAAGGAGAGGAGAGCCGACCACTATTCGGTTTTTTAAAACTGAGTAGTAGATCCGTTTAATTAATAGATAGATTGATTAATAGATCATACTGGCATAATATGGCCATGTTTTGAGAGTGAGGAACTACTTAGAAGTTTTAAGTTGGGTACCCCACCTTTAACCAGTTATTTAACATGCACGCACACACACACACACACACACAAACACACTCATACACACACCAAATCACAAACACACAAAATTAGGTAACAAAGACTATTATTAAAGTGAACTTTTTCAACTTACCTCTGCAGTGATAAAATGTGATATTGTGACATCCATAACCACACGATAATATTGTCTAGATTGCGCTCTCCATTTCCTCTCTGAAAGCACTTCTAAGTCGTCTGCCGAGCTCGGGGATTTCAATTTTTGATGTGAAAGTCAGATTGGCACAAACGCAGCCAAACGTCAAGTCACTGTGAAAGCGCCTGTTATTTAGGAAGCAATTTAGCTCTTTCTGCTCGTGGACATGAAGCTAGTTACTTATCCCCCGCTTTTTTTGATTGTACGAGTGATGCGCCAGCTCCTGTCGACAGTTTTGAAATCAAACCAAAACCTCTCGGTATCCGCCCAGTCATAGATTATACAGCACTTAGTTTGACTTTAGGTATGGTCAGTAGTTATTGCAAATGTTATATTGTCATTCAACATATAACGAAACCAACTGTGTACATGAATGCTGCTAACATGTACAGATATATACACACAACTATATATTACTTACACTATAAACATCAGCATTTTAGACGTGCTCCTTATTATGCTAAAGTCAGGGGTAATCTTAATCTTAATACAGTTTGATAATGAGTTGAACGAAGCGAAACACATACGGCCATAACGGCAATATCCCAACGACGTGCAATGACTTTGAGTTGGTAAAATGTGAAAATCATGTCTCTCTTTCACACATTCTTTTTTTTTTTTACTTTGACCAAAGACTTTAAAGGCAAAAAGTGATTTTATTCTATATGGTATATTGCGGTATCGTTCAGCAAGTTTGTGCACACTCTCCAGCCAATCACAAAGCAGGACTTCCGAGGCCGCGCGTTTAAGGTCCTGATTGGTCAATATAAAAACAAGTATACAGTATGGTGAGAGAAACACATGATTTACCCAAAATAATGACTCAAAGTTATCGCATATGAATATAAAAATAATTTATAAGAAATTAATACATATTAATATTGCAGATAAATTAAATTGAATTAAATAACTTTTATTTTTGTATAGCCCTAAATCACAACAGTAGTTATCTCGGAGGACTTTACAAAACCATCAAATTTGCCAACACAGATCAGAAAATTAAACAGTTGAGACACAAATGCAATGATAAAAATATGGATGTCCGTAAATAACGTTGAATGTCGAGTGTCCTGGATTATCACCACAGTTGCCATTATCGCAATGATGGTATTTGTTTTTGACATATATCGTGCAGTCTTGGCCCCTGTGACCTGCGTGAGTGCGTCCAGTGGAACCAGCTTGCCCCGCTGTCGTACATCAACTTAATAAAAGCAGGCACTACCAATGAAATGACTGGTGTGCGAGAAATCACCATTACATGCCACATAGAGCAGGGCCATAATTTCCGCAGACGTCCCCACTCAAAACTGCGCCGTACTTGCCCTCCTGTCCCCGGGCATTCCTGGAAAGTTGAGATTTAATTTTGAGCACAATGCACTGATGGCACTGGCTGTTTACTTTACTCACCATTTACAGTAAGTCCACAGGCGGAGAGCAATTCTAGTTTAAATCCGCCTTTTGTTCTCCGTGCCAACAGCAGCAAAAGCTAATGCCAAGTCATTTTAACGTTTTCGTTTCAAAAAATACTGCAAGGGACTAAATTATTGCACGTTGATTTACTGAGAAGGGTGCGTGCCTGCTGCTCCGAAAAACATGGGGAAGGGAGCGGTGATTAGAGGCTGTGTCTGCTAGCAAGGCGCTGTTTGCGGAGACAAAGCCAGTTTATTAATGAGTGCAGTTTAAAGTGGCTAATCAGGAGAAACAATAGAGAGAATTGCACAAAATGGTCAGAGGATGTATTGCCATGTAAACACGGTGCAAAAAGTGCAAGGAAGTGGAGACATTATACATTCATGCAATTATAATGAACTGAGCTTTGAAAGATTATAACATTAACTATATTTTTACCACCACCAATGGTTTAGTCCAGCCATTCCCAAACTCAGTAACACCGAGGCCCCCTTAAAAATCTGACGGGTCTGCGTGGCCCCCCAAAATAATAACCAAGAAGACAACATTAAGAATAGGCTCTTCTGGTTATTTTATTTTGGGGAAATAGCCTCTGCTACAAACATTGTAATACAAAAATGATTACAGTGGATTATTCAAGTCAAATAATGAACACAAATATTTTAATATTACAAACAAAACATTATAAATTTAACATTAAATAATTATATTATTTTTTTATTTTTTTTATGACCTCCCGCGGCCCCCCTGCAGTACCCTCGCGGCCCACCAGGGGGCCGCGGACCCCACTTTGGGAGACACTGGTTTAGTCTGTAGCCATTACATACTCGCAGACCACGGATCCCGCCCTCAAGGTGGGCCTCCCCAAGGTTTCTCACTATTCTCCAGCTGGGTTTTTGGAGTTTTTACTTGCAGATAAAGGCAGGTTTAAGGATAGATTCGACAATTTAACGACATTTATGGATCAACATCTATGGGCATTGGTCGTTCGCCCCTTATGGACCAATGTGTGTTTTTATCAGTGCATTTCATCTGTCTGAAGTGTTTGAGTCTCTGATCTGTGTTGAATCGACAGCTTTGTAAAGTCCTCCAAGATAACTGTTGTGATGTATGACTGCAAAAAAAATTATGCATCCATCCATTTTCTTCCGCTTCATCCGTTGCCGGGTCGCGGGGGCAGCAGTCTCCAGCGTGTCCTGGGTCTTCCCCGGGGCCTCCTCCCGGTGGGACGTGCCCAGAACACCTCCCCAGGGAGGCGTCCAGGAGGCATCCGGAACAGATGCCCGAGCCACCTCAACTGGTTCCTCTCGACGTGGAGTAGCAGCGGCTCTACTCCGAGCTCCTCCCGTGTGACTGAGCTCCTCACCCTATCTCTAAGGGAGCGCCCAGCCACTCTGCGGAGGAAGCTCATTTCGACCGCTTGTATCCGCGATCTCGTTCTTTCGGTCATTACCCACAGCTCATGACCATAGGTGAGGGAGGGAACGAAGATTGACCGGTAAATCGAGAGCTTTGCCTTTTGGCTCAGCTCTCTCTTTACCACAACGGTCCGATACAGCGACCGCATCACTGCGCACGCTGCACTGATCCGCCTGTCAATCTCACGCTCCATTCTTCCCTCACTCGTGAACAAGACCCCGAGATACTTGAACTCCTCCACTTGAGGAAGGACCTCTCCACCCACCTGCAGAGGGCAAATATGCATGCTTAAAAATTATGCTTAATAAATCCGAAATGTTATGCTACATGTTACCATCGTTGGTATATGAGAGTCCGTATAATGTGTCTTGAATTTGATCATACTGTACATGACATTGATTGTTGAAGTTTAGTTGTGTACTTATATGTTACCATTGTTGAAATATTAGAATCAGTCATCTGTGAACATATTGTTAAAGTTGTAAAGGGGTTAGGCAGTATAAGCCTCGACTTCAGCCTAAACCCCTTTCGGTCAGGCATAATTTAGCACTAAAATTCTTAATATACACAATTTAGTTCTTTATTTTCCTATTTTGAACTGTACAAGATCTTTGAAAACACGTGACCTAAGATCTAGTGTTCATAATGACCGAAAGAATACACTACTACTACTACTACTGCTAATTGAATCACATAGAAAGCTGGTTCCAAATCAGGGCAACTATAGATTACACTGCAACACTCTTATCATTTAGATTCAAGAGAGTGCATTTCATACTCAGTCAATATCAACGTGCTGCAGCTGGGATTAAACCTCCATCCTTCTCTTTCGCCTAAAAACGTGTCCCTAAAACACGCCTTTAAATCAATACAGTACATTTACAATATAATACCGCTTATAAAAACGTGGATTAACTGTAAGACCGTCTGCTCCGAGGCCTCTATATCATCACCAGTAATACTTTCGTCAGAGCGCTCGCGGGGCATTTATCAAAGCTCACTCCGCTTTTCAATTTTTATACCATTTAGAGCGTGTAAAAACAAGCCAGCCATCCCTCGGGCGACACGAAAGCGGCAGGGATTTTCGGACGATCTCTCAAAAATGGAAAAAGCGATGGAAGCATGTGGAGTCCTGGATGATGTACGCTCCCAGACTCCCGCGGGGCACCACCAGGAGGTTGGCTCAAAGGAAACGGCGATCCTGGATGTATTTTTTCTTTTTTTTTTTTATACCCAAAGGACTTCTTTACGGCTTCACTGTCCTCTTGTATGTTCGCTTGACGTCTTGCTCAAATCTCAGTCTCTTGTGTTTGATGGTCTTCCCCCACGGCTCTCTTCGGGGCACGCAGACAAAACAGATTCAAGAAAGATCTGTAACCCCCCAATATGGATACAGGGAGCAGGGATAATCCAGGGAAGGGGGGAGGGGGGTACTGAGGTTAAAGCTAGTGTACCTAACTTGTGTTGTTGCTTCATAAATAGTTGTTTGTCCCAACAGAAAGTCGTGTTGTTGTTGTACAATTATGAAACTAATAGAATAGAACAGAGCTGTCATTTTGAGTGCTCCCATTCAAACCAATGCAATTCTGAGAAATGACCTAAGTGCTAAAACAGTTTAAAGGCTAAATGCTAATTGCTGACGGTAAACAATGTGTTGCTATAGTAAAATATAAAACTACTACTCTTAAAATATAAAACTACTCACGTTTCAAATTATTACGTTAATTTCTTAAAGATAATGACAGAAATAAACTACTATGAACCACTGGAGATACATTATGAAGACCAAAAAGGTACATAAACTGAGTAATTACACTTAATTACACACAAAAACAAAATTCCGTTAATTTGACTGCTCTAGGAGTTCTAGTGTTAAAGGGACTGTATGCCATATTTTTATTTACATCTACATCTTTTATATGTTCAGGTCACATGTACAAGCCATATTTGAATGTTTCTGAACAACAGCTTTATTGAAAATACCATGGAAATGATGTCTATGAAATTTGATTTTCTCAGATTATCCAATTGGAGAACAGAATGAGTCACTCATTTGGGTTGCCAGTTTGTTAGGTGAAATTTAGCTAGTTCTATGCGCTCATCCTGAAAGCAGATACAAAATAGATGTAGTCGTATGTAACACACAGAGTTTGTACCATATATATGTTATCCCCAGCAGGTGGATTGCATTAGCGCACGTGTCACAGAAGATTCAAAAACTGGGTTGTAATTGCAATGGATGTATTGGACAGATTACATAAAGTCACTTTTAAGTAACAGTTTGTGAACAAATCACACCACAACATACTGTCTCCATCTTGTTAGCAAACATGTTATCTTTGACATACAGCGATCTGATTGGCTGAGTGAGGGCTGCGTCTCTTATTTCCATGTGAAATGTGAAAACTAGTGATAGAACCAAACTGTATGAGAGCGAGGACCGACAGGTGGATTGGATTGTATTACATATTTCCATGTTTTGGTTTGAAAGTTTGGGTACCTCAGCTTTAATGGTATGGTTCAATTTGTTGTTATTTTAGATACTAATAATAATTGCAACATGCCTTTTTGGTTACTCAAAACCTCTGATAACACATTCTGGAGAGATCATTAAGGCTGCTGAGTGGAACTACTATAATAAACTATACACCATTAACAATGATAATAATAATACATTTTATTTATATTGCACTAAGGAAATCTCAAAAATTCTACATATTAAAATACAGTACAACACACATAAAAGACAAAACAAAAAACAACATGGCATATTAGCAAGTCTTGGCCACTTTCACACAATTATGAAAAATTCACAAACAAATTCTAAAACTACTTTGTAAATAAATATATAAAAACAGGAGTGACTGGATGTTTCCTGCACAGTTGCTGGCGTCTCACTCTAAATCCCCTGTTTGATGCTCGGGCCCTCAGCTCGTCAGGGGCTCTTCCTCCTCGTGCTGAAACGTGACATGAAATATGACTCAGAGCTGAGATCTGAGGCGGCGTGAGCTCCACGGGCAAACACGAGAAAAAACACTGGAATAATGAAGACGTTAGAGATAAAGTCCTCGTTTGCACCGCGGCCGCACGCGCTCTCGCGGCCATGTGTCGTGAAGCTGCACTAACCTCAGATATTTCCAATTCAATGAATGTTTGGACGTTATGGTGGTTAGGTCAGTGTTACCTACACAATGCATAGGAATTAATTCACTTATATGCATTTGAAACGATAATTCAAGGATATGCTATTTATCATGAGAAATGTCATAATGTACAAAAGTGGAAAGTGAATCTTTTCTTTAGTCATTTTCATTAGAATGTTGTGAAAGAGTTTAGAGAAAGAGTGAAAAAGTACTATGTCGTGCGAAAGTCAGACCAAAGCATGTTGTCTTATGCACACTTGTAAGAAAGCGCCCCATGTTCTCCCCTTGCCTGTGTAGGTTTCCTCTGGGTGTATTGGGCAGGTATAAAAAAGCAATACAAATAACAATTGTAATTGTTTCAGAGCTACTCAGGACTTGCAGCCGTTATCCAGCGCATTCAAAAGTAAACCAATGAGAAACAAAACTCTACAGAAATAACTTTACAAACATTGTAGAGAAAATTCTAGTGGGCCACAATCTGCTGTACATGTCCATCTCAAGGCCATCAACCACACCGTGAACGACACGGAGGTTAGTTTGAAGATTGGTATGAAAGAGGAGTGAAAGAAACCTTTCTTGTGAGAAAACACAAATCCCTAAACAGAGAAGGTGGTTTAAGATTGGTTTTCTTAAACCAATCTTAAAGTAGTACTAGAATGTAATATGCTGCTATCCAGAATATATAACTACAATATGTGTTTATAATATTTCGGGTGTTCATTGTGGGCGGCAGTAGCTCAGTTGGTAGAGCGTTGGCCTTTGAGCCAGAAGGTCGTGGGTTCAAGCCCCGCTCAAGACTTTCACCATCGACTCCCACTGACTACTGTCGTTGTGTCCTTGGCAAGACACTTAACCTCTGGGAACACCAGCCACAGTGGGGCGGCTGCGGCTGTAAAGTGCCAAACTGCCGTTGTGTCCTTAGGCAAGACACTTCACCCCCATTGCCTAGAATGAGTCTGGTGTGTGTGTGAATGGTTGGTGGTGGTCGGAGGGGCCGATGGCGCATACTGGTTGCCTCGCTTCTGTCAGTGTGCCCCAGGGCTGCTGTGGCTACAGTAGTAGTTTATCACCACCGTGTTTGGTGTGAATGAATAATGACACATGTGAAGCGTCTTTGAGTGTCCAAAAAAGCGCTATATAAAACCGATGCATTATTATTATTATTATTATTCATTGTGACATGTTCAGATGAATTATGTTAAAAAAACTGCTTTGAAGTGGCACCTTAAACACTAGGGGGGGCCAAAATGGCGGCGATGACGTAGGAGAAGGGTATCTCACAGCAGCAGCAGCAGTCTTAGCTGGAAACTGTAGGAGGTTTCACTGTCATCTGAACAAGGTATAAACATATTTTCATCCGTTTTGTACATAATAGTGCTCAACTCTTTTAACCTTTTAGCCTTATTTGTGAGATTCAAGCTAACTAGTGTTGGGCAAGTTAGCTAACGCTACTTGATATCATAAAACATGCTAACAAGGCTAATATTCGTTTTTACATTATGCAGGCTCACTGTGGTTGCCTTAGATTTATTTACCACAATGTGCATTGTAATATTCAAAATAACTTTAATTAAATAAATATTTTACTTTTATGAACAAAAATCTGCAGAAGTTGAAAACATAGACTACACGTGATGCAATCATTGATAAAAATGCTAATTAAACCGTTAATAGGTGTTAGCATTTATGGATATTACAATGTACATTGTGGTTAATAAATCTAAGGCAACCACAGTGAGCCTGGAATAATGTAAAAACGAATATTAGCCTTGTTAGCATGTTTTATGATATCAAGTAGAGTTAGCTAACTTGCCCAACACTAGTTAGCTTGAATCTCACAAATAAGACTAAAAGGTTAAAAGAGTTGAGCACTATTATGTACAAAACTGATGAAAATATGTTTATACCTTGTTCAGATGACAGTGAAACCTCCTACAGATTCAGCCCAGACTGCTGTCTGCTGCTGTGAGATGTCCTTCTCCTACGTCATCGCCGCCATTTTGGCTCCCCCTAGTGTTTCTATGCGGAAGTGAAAAGGTGCCACTTCAAAGCAGTTTTTTTTAACATAATTCATCTGAATATGTCAAAATGAACACCCGAAATATTATAAACACATATTGTAGTTATATATTCTGGATAGCAGCATATTACATTCTAGTACTACTTTAAACCAAAATATTCAAAAAATCAATATTGAATATTGAGTATTGAATAGAATTAATAAATTAACATATGGATTATTTTACAGTTAAATGATCACTTTTGTGTACAGGAAATTAAAACAAATGAGACAGAAGTACTTTGTTCCTACTTGAACTGACTCCTCTTTGAGATACAATGAAAAAAAAAAACACTTTGGAAAAAGGCAACTTTGTATTTGCAGTAGTTTTTGAGAGGTTATTTATTCCTGTAATCTTGCTCTGGCGCAGTTCAAAACTGCGACCAGGGCCCGCTTCCCAGCGCAGATGAGGGGGGTCAGTGTGGCGGGTGGTGGGGAGTGGGGGATTAGGTGTGGAGGGGACTTGATATTGTGCGTCACATTACGTCTTCCTGTGACACGCATTTTCACACACTCTCCCTGCACTTTTGTATTCTCCGCTGTGTCAAACCTTTCATATAAGCCCCGGACCGTGCTCGAGGGGCGCTGGGGTAGTGTCTCTCTGCAGGGCCAAAGAAAAGCGTTTTCTATGGGTATAGCTGTCCTGACCCTCTGCCCCTCAGTGTGGTGCTATTGCAATAACACTTCAGACATTCAAGAATCAGTCTTTATTTAATCACCAGAAAACACACAAACACACACACACTTCTAACCTCCCTGTCTGCGGTCGCTCAGCTCATACGCCACACTTTTCATTCCTTCATTCTCATTAATTCATTTCTCA